GCTCATCTTCCTGACCAGGAGGCTCAAATAGGATGACATGGTATCAGGGGGTTTAAACGCTTTGCTGAACTTCCAGAGCTTTTCTGTAAGGGGCTGCAGGCAGGCACAGAGGAAAGATGCCTTTTATGCTTTAATGTAGCTATAGACATTTTTAAGAGTTTCACATTGGAAACGTTAATCTTCTATAAATTCTACTTTTGCTGGAGTTTGATGGGGGCTTGCTTTATTTTTACCTGGAGAGATTAAGGCATAAACCAGATATAGATGTGACAAATATGGAAGGCATAACATCTAAATAGTTCGGAGTAAAAATATGTTCCACGTGGTCTACTGTGGTATAATTTTGGCCTTTTTTGTATTTCTAGAATGTTTGCTATAGGACAAAAAAAAAATATCATCGAAGTGAGTCTTACACAGTCCAATCCTTTCAGTACCAGCTACTACTGTGTAACATAGATATTAGCGGTAGGAATACCAGCTTTAGACAAATGAGCAGCGAAAGTTCTGTGTGTGGGGGTGGGCCTACATAAAGTTTTTAGGCTTTATTCAGTATGTTATCAAAATGATCGCTTGAATAAAAGTGCCACATCTTGTTTTCTTTGTACAAGATAATATGATTTGTAAAAAGAAAACACCGTTATTAGAAGTGATTGGTTGTGCTAGAAACTAGAATTCCATTATCTAGAAAATTTATTATGAGTTAAATGTGAATAAATACATCCAAGAGTTGGATTTTAAGTATGTCAGTGATTTTTAATATGATTTTTTCCTTATTTGTTTTTGCAAGGAAGAACTATTACTGTCTTCTGAATGTTTCTTAGTGTATTTAAAGATTGACAGACAGGGGCAAATAAGATACTGCAGGACATAATTTGTACAGAAAAGCAACCCCAAATGAAGGGTGCCTGATCTGTTAAATCCTACTGTGTACGTAACCTCTTAGAATGCTTATGAAAAAAAAAATCAGGTCAGTTTTGTAGGAAACAAGTATTTAATGAAGGACAACCTGAAGTTACAGTTTGTATATTGATGGTTTTGTTTAAAGTCAAGTCATCTCTGGTGACTAACTGGTCAGCTAGTTCTGTCAGTTGTTTTCTGCTACTGTTGCAGGACCTCCTTATTTTCTTGGTAGAAAATGATGTATTGATTTTTATTCACCACTGTGCTCTCCCCTACCCCCACAGCTCTCTTGCTTCCTGAGTTGTCCTCCAGGATTCCCAGCAGAATTAGCAGTAAAACTAATCTTGCCATTTCCTTGTCTGCTGTAACGAGCAGTAAAATTTTAACCTTCTTGTTTATTTGATGATTTGCAAAGCTTGGTCATCTCCTTGTTGTATAGCATTCCTCTGCTGGCCTCTGGGAGGAAGAGGGAGACATGTATCTCCAGCGCTTGGGGGTAAACACCTAACCCTAGAAAACATTTTGAGGTAGATGGATCAGTTTCCGTCTTCATAGCTGTCAGAAAAAAATTCTGCCACAATGGATGCTATTACAATGGACACATATAGAAGAATCCAGGCATGTTTCTTAAGGTATGAATTTGGTACAGAGTTGTTCTGAGCATGCAGTTAACAGTTTGCATGCACTGCTTCCTTATTTTTGTCCACAAAAACTGTTTTGTATATACTTGCCTGAATATTTACATACTTGCGTTGGTTGCTCATGAATGCATGTACGTATGGTTACCAGAAAGCTTTGGTAAAGTTCAAAATGGTGGTGTAGGTTTTGAAGTTGTATTGCAGTCTAAGGTTTGCTTGGACTGTGAAGTTGGCAATTTTTCATGTAATGGTTCAGCTAGAAGTGTTCTGCAAAGAAGTGGTCAATGGTGACACGTTCCTAGAACTTATATTTTCTTCAGCCAAGCACATTGAAAGATCTGATGTTTACTACCTGGAGAGAAAGGAACTTTTAAGATTATAAAGGATCTCAATAAACCTTCACAAAAGCCTTACAAATTAAAAAAAAAAAGCCTTATGGGTCGTCTTGTAAACTAAAACTAAAATTGGTTAAAGATATACATTAACAATTTGATGAATGCAGTGTAAAGCAAAGTATTTCAGGGAAAACACTGTAAGAAAGTATTTTACAGGGATTTTTGGTCTGAAGCTTTGACCTTTGTGTTTGTTTTGTTTTTTTAATTCTGTCCCTTGCCATATTTTGCTTTCTTGCCTTTTTTTCTTCTCATAAGTTTCTGGATTGCAACAGCTGCCTCTGTTCTCTGATGATGCTGAAGGTTAAGGGAGTCAGAGGCCCTTGGCACTGGTGGCAGTGTCCAGGAATAATTCTGGTATGAGAAGCTATAGTAGATGTTTGTGGAGTGAGATGGTGCAGTGATGAGGAACCCCGGACCATACTGCATGGATGGATTGGTGCCTGTTCAGTTGGCCAAAATGACAGAGGAGCTATCTTATAAGGAGATATGTTCTCACTGTTTCTTAAGTCCCTGGGAAGATAAAGGTCTTCATTTTATGTCTGATGCAGGATCATCACTGCTGTATAGCAGCTTTGGTTCTTAAAGCCAAGATGTTTGTATCTTTGTAACAGTTAGTTAAAAACCTTGAGTGAATGTTTTGCTGCATTTAAAGGGAGGAGGTGCATGAAAAATAACCAATAAAATAGAGTAAGTATGCTAGGACTCTCTCCACAGTACAGCACGGTTTCAGAATTAAAGATACAATAGACCTAGACCCTTTGGGTAAAAGGAAGCGTTTGCTCATGCATCGTATGGGTGACCTGCATAATCCTTGAAGATGTGGTTGCCAAGATAGTTTACTTGGAAATTTCTAAACAGGATTAACTGACAGCAATTTTCATTTATAATAATAAAAGTAATCTTATGAAGGTACGGAAAAATAATATTATAAAGGTAGTGATCATATTTCAGCATTTGAACTGTATGTCATCAGTCAGCAGGGGAAGGAAGGGGAAGATATCTTTACCTAGTGACTAACTGAACGTGTCAAGTATCTGTACTTAAAATTATCGTGAACTCTCATCAGCAGTTTTCCTGTGATGGGTTATGTGTGCTGGAGGATGTTTCTCTCTGCCAAGTCATTTGTTGGCCAGTTGCCAATTCTCATGACTTTTTATGATATGAAGCTGATTCTGTTGAGAATCAGTAAGCTGAAAATGATTTGAGAGTTTTGGAAGTGGGAGGAGGAGGTTATGTTAGTTGGGGAATTAAAAAGAGAGAAGGAAAAGAGTACTGAATGCAATCTACAGCACAATTCATTTGCTAATTACACATTGACATAAATTGAAAAGTCCCAGAAGGAAGGGGTTTACAACATAACTGTAAAACAATTTGCATCTGTGTAGAGGTCTCTGCTTATCCACAAAGGAATGAGATTTTAAGTGGATTTGTTTAATCGGGTTTATCGTGAGTACATAGTTGTGGAACTCCTTTTCCCTCACATTTCAAAATCTCATGTCTTTCTGGAAGTTTCCCTCTTCTGTTGAGATTAAAGATGTCAAGGAAGCAAGTATGGTGAAGTTTAATGGAGAATGAAAGCGAAACCTAGAAAAACCTAAGAAGTGTCCTTCTAAATTTTAGAGTGCACTGAATACTGGAATCTTTCTGGTTCCAGATTATCATGATAAAACTGACAGTTTAATGCTAACTGTGCTCTGAAGTTCAAATGCCTTTCTTTCCCGCCCCATAAGAAAGTAGAAGCACTCCAGCAAATTCATTCTGTCTGTATTGAAAAGGATGATAACAATTTAGACACACTAACTAGTATTACTACAAGGAGCATTCACTGTTAGTATTATAATAGTGTGGGTCTTATTTTCTGTTAAGTCTTTCAGACTTGTTGGTGCTCAACATCTTACCCTACAGTTGTCTCCCCTTTTTCTTTTGTAAACATGTCATGACAGGAAAAAGAATAAAAATTTGAACAAAACTGTAAGTCAAACTTGGCAGTTTTGAAACAGCAATCTGTTCAGGTCTCATTCTTGTATTTTCATTGTACTGTTACTGCAGCACTTTATTATAAATTACCAGTTTAGCATCATTCTGGCAGGCAAGTGAGCTCTGAGAGCAGTGTGAAAATGTCACTACCTCAGTTGTTTTGGTAATGATGGATTCTTTACAATGCCTTTAAGTCAAACAGTTGTTTATTTTGAACTTAATAACTAGATACTGTTCCTGTCTCCTGTTACAAATCTGTAATATTATTAATAGGAGAATGATGAGCTTTCAGACAAAACCTGCTGCAGATGTAAGAAACAACTTCAGTAGATTCCTATGGAGCAGGTGTCTTTAGGTTCATCAGTAAGATACCATTTCCATTAGATGCAGAGTAGCATTAGTAACTACAGTATCATATCTCAAGAAAAGATGAGATCAGAATAAGTTTTGCTTTATAATTTCAGTTGAAAGTGTCCTTTCAGCAGCCATCCTAAACAGAACAAACAAAACTAAGCTATTTCATTTTGCACTAATATGCTAGATTAAGCCCTGAAGTGCAAAAGTTAATGTAGACCTTGCACTATTGTTGTTCTGTTAAATACAGTTTCCACAGTGGTTGTGAATGCCTGTTGCACCAGACGTTCTGATTCTTTCCCCCATGACCCAAAAGTATTTCTTTCACCAAACTCTGTTCAAGTAACACCTGCAGTCTTCCTAAATGGTGTATCTAAAAATATTTATTGAAGCTTTGCAACATAAAAAATAATTCTTCTCTGCTCCTAAACCCAAGAAAACAAAAAAACCACCCATCCACCCTGCCACCCCCCTCCAAAAGGAAAATTCAAACAAAAAAAATCCCAGTAGGATTAGCAGGGATGTAAGGAACCAGCCTTGTGACGATGACCAAAAGGACATAGCAGTACATGATTTTTAGCAATGTAACCTGGCATTCAGTCTGTACCAAAACACACTCCCCAACCCCCTGAGAAAGTATGATGTTAGTGTATGAGGATATGCACTTGAGTAGTGCTTGTACGAAAATGTAGAAGTAACACTGGTTTTGTTTTGGAAGTGTCTTCAATGGGCACTAAAGAAAGATAAGAGTAAAATACAGCTGGGTTGACTCATCACAGAATATGCTGAGATAGTCTATATTCAACATGTTAAAGTTAATACCTGTTTAGTTTAGGCTTTGTTTATCCTTAGTGCTATGGATAGGCAGATGTTGAAATTCACTTCAAATGATTATAAAAGTCCATAGATAGAAGATTTTTTTTTTCCAGCAAACAGAAATGCACTTACTACTTTTTAATACTTACAGATTTTTATTTTTTTTTCCTTTGCTGATATGCAATGTTGAAGTAAAATATTTCTATTGTCCACTTTAAATTACCAGTTGGAGTCAAGGTGGGAAAACAAAACCAGAAATCTATGATGGTGTGTTTAAGCTATTTTCAAGTAATTGCCGGCCCAATACATGCTGCTCTTATATTGTGAAGATGATTTCTTAAGTCCCGCTGTAGGTGGTCTTTGTATGATAGCCTTCAAGTAACACAAGTGGCTTTATCTTCTCTTCTGCTGATCAGGTCAGTAAAGATTTCTGGTTTGGATGATTATGACAGCATTGAATGGATAATAATTCTGACTGGAAAACAGGTTGTTAACAGGTTTCACCTTTTCAGTAGCTGTTTAAGCAATATTCAGCTAGCTGGCTGTTAAGTATTTTACAGGAGTAAACAGGCTTTCTTGCTTTAATTAAGACCATATGTGTACAGCAACTGTGTTTGTCTGGGAATCTCTATCCTGTATTTTCAGTTAAATAGCTAATAAAATGTTGCAGTTGTGGATTGGACTACCAAATCCAATAGGCAGATGTCTTTGAAAACAGTTTTGGTTTTGCTTTCTATTTCGTCATACAAAGCAATGAGGTTTGATGGTCTTGTGCTGTAACAAAATAAACAATATTTTCCTAATGTGTTAAAGCTACTGTTGGGACCCAGTATTCAGAAACACTTTTTTTAAATCTCAGGTTTACTAAGTGGCAAAACATCTATAGATTCTTGTGTTTTCTTTGCAAAGTCTTCATGAGTTAACTTCTCTGTAAACAGTTGTCTTGGATGTTAAATAATAGTAAAAATGGATTGAGCAAGAGTCGATTATGAACATACTAAATTCTTGATTTGTGTTCTAGTGAAAGGGAGCATCAGGTATTTACTAGAAGAAGTTACTCTTTAGTTCTAGAAAAAATTAAAACATATAAACTGAATAAAGGACTCTAATGCTTAACCTGGAGATGCTTCTTCAGCAGCGTTTGAGTAAAGCTGACCCTTCCCTCTGGAAAACATCACATCTATTCATATCACTTCCCAGAGGCTAAATGCAGTCCTTGGAACACTCACAGGAAATAATACCAATGTGCTTCTAAACCATGACCCGCCTTTTGGTCAAAGTGGCCAAATATGCCACTTCTGTTGATTACTGGGTGGACCACATACAGTTATTCTTGCCCCATGTAGAGCTGGGAGGTGCCAGGAGATGTGCCAGGGTCTCTGCATTCACTGCCCATCACTAACTCCCCTCCCCGCTGCCTGGGGTTGTTTAGCCATGTTTATTCACAGCCGCCACCTGTATATTGATTTCAGTGGTTTGGTCCTTTTTGAGCAAAAGCTGAGCCACATTTTCTGTTTTCCCTCAGCTGAGGATGCGTGACTGGAAGAGATGGTGTGCTGCTAATCTTTGATGCTGTTAGATTGGCAGTTATTTTCTTAGAAACAAGGCTTTCTGCTGTCACTTGTATTTTAAGTATGGTTATTTGTTGTGCTTGGAGGAGTCCTAAATAATGCAATACTTAAATATCTGGTAGAACATTTTCAGTCAAGTACTTGAGCTGTTGCTAGCAATGTTGGGAATGCTTTCATGTCTGAAAGATGGAAACGTTGCTGTGCCTTACCAGGTGGTCAGGAACGGGAGAATTTTTCTTCCTTTGGTTGATGAAGTTAGAGGTCAGGGCATCTCCCATTTTGTTCAATGTGTTAGAATATTTTTCTGTTTCATTGATAAAACAATCTTTGATGCTCAATAAAAATTTAACATGTGGCTTTGTTATGTGTGCCAGTGAATAAAGTGGGTTTGTTTTCATAATTGGTGGAGGAAAGGCAGGCACTTGTAGGATGCAGTTCACTGCACTCATGTAGTTGTCTGCTTTAGGATGATATGAATCATGTCCTGGAGACTCCATTAACAGTAAAGGAAGCATGCACAGTTTTTCACTGACCTCTGTGCTTGGTTGTGTGCAAAGATAGGTTGAATGGCGTTCAAAATCCTAATTTGACAATTTTGTCATCAGCTTCACACGCTCTACTTGCTGCACTGGTGTTTGGCTGCACTGAAATGTAACCAGGGATACGGACTTGCAGAGTCCCACCGTTTATCTTTAGCTTCTCCACAGAGGAGGAGCAGAAGAAGAGGGAAGAACTTGGCAAAAAAATTTCAGTGGTTGTTGGTGGTGTTCTGCTTCTCTAAGTTTAGCAGTGTTGGGGGTGGTTGTTAAAACAGGCTTTCAGATTTTGAAACCCTCTGTTCTGAGCAGGGTTAGGTAACGTGATGCTTCAGCATGCTGGAAGTCCATCTATGCTGCAGCTCCCAAAGCCAAAATACCTGGATGAATTTAATCAGTAATTCAGTAAAAATGGAAGAGATTTTAAAACTTTCCCTGTTGCAGACAGGAATTGCATAGTTTGCTCCCTGACAAACTTCAGGCAGAATATTTAAATTGTGATTTGTGGAAGTTTCATGTCACACTGAAGTCATATCGCTTTACTCATAGAGGCAAACCTGATCTCAGCATCAGCAGGGGCTTGTTGTTTTGCCACTGTAGAGAAACTTCTTGTGTCTGTTACGCAGGCAGGAGAACAATATAGAGGGTTATGGAAAGGTTGCATTATTCCAGGGGCCTTTCTGACGGTTTTCACAGTTTCTATAGGATGTTAACAAATCTCCCATTGCAAAAAGCTGCAACTGAATTTAATAAAATATCACCTCTTCTAATTCCTTCCCTGATGGATTTTGTCAGCTGGCTTCCTGAGTGAGTACCAACACTTTTATATGCTTACTCTTCAGCATTTCCACAAAACCTGTTTTAATTGTCTGTTTCTGAATTAAATAAGTATACTTGTAAGATCATGGTCCCTTGCAAAATTGTTTATGAAAAGTCTTTGTAAGAAACTTTTAGTTCCCTGCTCTTCTGAAGTTTCCAGCATTGAAGAAAAATCAATACTCAGTTATGGAAAGGGAAGGGGATTAATCTGGGATGATTGCTAACATTGGCTATAGAAGGAAATGGGATGCTGTTGTGGAAGGAAGGGGAGACATCACACGTACATGAATATTTTGAGTGGATTCTTTCTGGATTCATCTAGTATACTTCTTGATAGTCCTGCTAGGGGAGAAAAAAAAGAGATCCGAAGTCTGCATCCCATTAAAAGAATTTATATACTTCTCTTTTAACATTTATATTTAGGAAGCATAAATATACTGCACTCACAGCAAAATTGAATTTTCACATCTCTTTAGAACTAAGACTGTTTATATTTTTTTATAAATTTCACTTGATTTACACTTTCAGTGATTTGGGTCATGGCTTGAGGTTGCTTTCATAAGTGGAGGAAAAGACGATAGCGATAGAGAAGCCTTTGCAGAGCTGCTTGGCCATGCCTGGAATGGGGGGAGTCTGGCCAGTACTCTGCTTGCAGGTCTTCCATCTTCCTAGTACCCATCTTCCTCCTTTTGTGAACTTAAAGCTGTAATATCTTGTCTCATCCTGTAGGTATGCGTGGCTTGGCACCTGTACAGGACTTTGTGTGAGCTTAAGCTCTAGTTCAAGGGGAGGCGTTTTAATGCAGGTACTTGCTATATGTTTTAGGTTGGGGGGAGTGTGAGTTTACAGCCACCTTTTAAACTTCTGAAATTCTACTTTAAGACTGGATTAAATAATTTTGTAAGCTCAGCTGTATGCTCAATGGTACGACTTTAATGGTGCTGGTCTGTGATACTAAGGATAAAATTTAGCTCACTGCTGGAGCTTGAAACAGATTCATGATGAAAGTTCATAATTTAGTAAATATTTACAAGGCATTTAGCAATTAGTCAGATGCTAACACTTTTCACCCTTTTTCTGTGATGAGTGATTAGCAAGATGGAATTTTTATTTCCCCTGGCAGGCTATAGAGCATTGCTTGCTCTACCTCTACTATTAATGTCCCAGAAAGTAATTTAAGGGAATGAGGATGCCTGAATAGTAAGGATCTGGAGAAAGAAGATAGACTGATATTTCTAGGATAAACAGAAGACTGAGAAGAAGGAGAATAAGGTAGCTAACATAAAACTGGAGGAAAGATGGATGAAAGCTTTTAAAGAACTCAGTGTGATGTAAATGTCAGCTTAAAAAAAATTACCTTTCAGATATCACACAAGCCATTTTTAGGTTTTCTTATTTGGCAATATAGTTTTTCAATATAAAAATACTAAGCTTTAATTTTCTACTACATAAAAGAATTTAAAAGAAAAACTGTATTATTCATACAAGACAGGCAGGCTATTGTTAGAAAAGGATTTATTTTTTTTTAAGAAGTTTTTTTTTTAACCTATGAGTGGCATTTCAGCCATCATAAATACTTGTGTATAATTCTTTAAATAACTGAGAGGTAGATGTGTGTACAGGAGCACAAACTATATGTAGATACCTATTATTCAGCTTCAGGTAACAGAGTTTGTTATTGTGATAGTTGGTCTCCAGGTTCACAGCACTCTACGGTAACTCATATTGGAAGGGACAGCTCAAATCAGGGCTGAGGACAGTCAGAGTTGTCCAGTCATGTTTTGAATATCAGCAAGGATGGAGATTTTGCAGCCGGTCTGGGACCTTTTACTAATGTTTGACCACTGTAATTCGTAATATTTAGGAGGAATTTATTCTGCTGCAACTTGGATCTGTTGCCTCTTCTACTATTCCTGTGTGTACCTCCAAGAGTCTCACTTCATCTTCTCTGTAACCTCCCCCTAGGTGGCTGTATCTGCTTAAACTGTTAATCTAGATGTACAAAGGAATAATAAAAAGCTTACTTGTGCAGTGTTTCCCTCTCCCTCAAGCAGTTCTCTGTTCACTTAAGTATAATTCATCTGCCAAGAGCTTTCTCTTCCATTAAGTTTGTAATAATTTCCATTCTGTTCTCTCAACTACCTTGACTGTATTTTTTCATGAAGATAGGAAGATACTGTAGCTACAGGTTCCTCACTTTATGAAATAATGTGATTTTTGTCATGGTCTGATATACTCATCTAAGCCATTTTTTGGTTTAGCATAATCACATGTTGAAAGTACTCATCCTACTGTCCCTACACAGCTTTTAAAATTTTCTAAACAAAATCCCTTTTTCAACAAAGTAATACTATCTGTCAAAAGACCTGCAAAATTGTTAAGTCAGTTAAGAAA